CAGGAATAACTAGAAAGTTGAGCTATTCTTTTTCCTCACTTTTAATTTAAATTTGATTTTAAACAAGGATAGCAAAGATCGGAGAAAAAATGTAGCAAACTACTGAATTCAAAGCATAGTATCAAAGCAGCATTATATTGTTCATGGCTTAGAATCCTGGGAGGCCTGCAGGAACAGTAGTGGACATGTGGCTATAGATCTCTCTGCACCTAGAGAATTCGACACAGTGTGCGGATTGAATAAAAACAAAGACAAAAGACACTAAAGAAGAGCAAAGTTGGAGCACTGACAATTTTGACTTGTCATGCACATTGGAGGAGGCAGATGCCCCTTCCCTATCTTCTCTAATTTCTTGCACTAGTAAAATTTTATATTCTGAAAGTTTTACTCATGAAGTAGATTGGTAGGTGGTAGTCTTGTTTTGACATATGCCCCTCTGTACCATAGAATATATTTCTGAAAATTTAGAATAGTGAGGAAAGACACAGCTTTTTTGAAAGCACTGTGGATGGCCTGGAGGCTTATTTAGTAACCAAAATTTTTATTACAACTATTGCAAATTCCAAAGCTTTCAATCCATTGATTTCTGAGGGAATTTGCTTGAGTAGAATAAATGATGACTGTTGACTAAAGATATAATGTGGATCCCACACTTCTAACCTGAGGCAGAGCTGGCTTGAGGCTTTGCAGAAGTAGTCACAAAATCATGGAATAGTTTAGGATGGAAAAAGACCTTATAGATCATTGAATCCAATTGTCAATCCAGCACTGCTAAGCCTACCACAAAACCATGTCCCTAAAAGACACATAGACATATCTTTTAAATACTTCCATGGATAGTGACTCCACACTTCCCCAGGCAGCTTTTTCCATTACCTGATCATGTTTTCAGTGAATAAATTTTTCCTAACATGCAATCTAAACCTTCCCTGGTGTAACTTGAGGCAGTTTCCTCTCATCCTGTCACTTGTTACTTGTGAGAAGAGGCCAACCCAAACCTCATACACCCTCCTTTCAGGGGGTTGTAAAGAACAAAAAGGTCACCCTTGAGCCTCCTTTTCTCCAGGCTAAAGAACCCCAGCTTCTTCACCACCCTTCAGCAGATTGTGCTCCAGACCCTTCATCTGCCTTGTTGCCCCTCTCTGGACACCCTCCAGCAGAACAACACTCCAGCCCAGCTTGATGTCATCTGAGAACTGATGGATGGATCACTAAACCCCCTCATCCAGATCATTTGTAAAGATATTAAATAGGTCTGTCCCTAACCACAGCCCTGGGAAACACCACTAGTGACTGACAAACAACCTGATTTAACTCCATTCACCACCACTCTCTAGTGGCCATCCAGCCAATTTTACACAGTGAAGAGTGCACATCCAAGCCATGAGCAGCCAGTTGCTCCAGGAAAATGCTGTGGGAAGCGGTGCCAAAGTACCAGTGTTCAGGCAGGAAACACCCACATCTTTTCCCTCATCCATTAAGCAGGCTACCCTGCCATAGAAGGGGATCACATTGGTCAAGCAGGACCTGCCTTTCCTAAACCCACTCTGGCTGGGCCTGATCCCCTGGCTGTCCTGTATGTGCCATGTGATGGCACTCAAGATGCCTGGCTCCATGACATTTCCCTGCACCAAGGTTGGGCTGACAGGCCCATAGTTCCCCAGATCCTCCTTCTGGCACTTCTTGTAGATGGATGCCACATTTTCTAACCTCCAGTCATCTGGAACCTTCCCACTCAGCCAGGACTTTTGGTAAATGATGGAAAGTGCCTTGCTGAGCCCTTCCACCGACTCCCTCAGTACCCTTTGGAGGATCCCATCTGGCCCTATAGACCTGTGTATTTCTAAGCAGTGCAGCAGATCACTGATTATTTCCCCTTGGAGTTTATGTGGCCTTAAACTTAGAACTATAGACATATTTGAACTTTTCTGTGCAAAGAGGAAGTTAAAACTTATTTTGCTGTCATTCTGAGGAAATAAAATCATTCTTCATAGAAAAATTACCTTTTTTGGGGGAGACTACCAGAGACTCAAGAGTGACTGGAAGTGATTTGTAAAATATCTGTTGACTAGAGATGGAGAAACAAAAGGATCTGGTATGAATTTTATGGATCTGATTGCACCTTCATGACTCTTTCCTTTAGATATTCAGCCCTAAGTTGAAGGAGTCTTGCATTGGCGAGTAAAAGCAGCTGTACTAGGTTGATCCAGAAGTCCAACAATCTGTGTCTTATCTGTGACCATGACCAAAACTGGGAAAAACGGATCAAAATAGGATGAGCATATCATAACTCACTAAATTTTGGTTTTGCCATCAAACAAATGGCCAGAGGCTTGTGCTTTAGAGCTGGAAGTGCAGGGTCCTAGGATGTGTGTGTCCTGCCTTGGCTTTAGCTATTCTTAATGGTGGCAGCAATCATTCAATGCCACGTGCCTGTGGCCTCCCCTGCTCTGATTTCATTCTGAGAGCACCCAGGACAGGAGGCTGGAACTCCTATGTCGCCACTGTGGGACAAACAGGACCCCTGGGGCAATGAGGAAGTGGGAGGGCACATTGTGTGGCTGGGAAGCAGAAAGAAGGAGGCAGGTTGTGATTGTAATAGGAAAACTCCAGGAGTGAAAGAGGGACACCCCCATTATTGTGCACAACTGAGAGCTGAGGATGCTGATGATTTGCTCTGACTCACCATTCATCTTTAGGAATACTTGAATCTCAATTTTGACATCTAGAGGGATACCAGAAAGATGAACACAACACCAGAGAAAATACATAGCTATCAGTAATTTTCTTGCATAACGATTGTAATGGCATAATTAATGAGGATAAACTATATAGTTTTTGCAGTAGACTGTTAAAGTAGACTCTTAAAACATTAGCTAGGCTTGCAATAAATTCTTGATTCTGCATAAATGCCTATATCAAGATGCTGATAGCAAAAATATGCTCTGTTTCAGCAAATTCTCTCCCAGCGTTCCAGAGCTTGAGACTCAGTGACTACCTGAGCCAGGTCTTGTGACTTGGTACTTGCTAACTTTGAGTTAATTTTCTTCCCTGCAGAATTGTCCGGCTGACCCTTAACTCATTGAAACTTCCAGCTTTCATACCATCTAAGGAAAAGGCATTTAGAAGGTGAGCTACAGGATGCATGGAAAATTGCCTCCATGTGTTTGTATGAACTTGCAATCAGCTTATTTTTCTGATGCCTCCTAAGTTGCCAAGCAGCAACCACTACCCTTCTTTGTTTGTCACCAGCTGACCTTTCTTGTACCTCCAGAGGCTTTTGGTTTGTACAACAATTATGGCATATGGACTTCTTTTAGGACCTTGCTGCTTTCTCGTGTCTCACACAGGCCTCCTGTCTTCCCTTCCCATCCTTCCCTAGAGGATGCAGATGGGTTTGCTCTGCAGATACGTGTGCTTCCTGCAGCCAGTTTATTATTAAGAAGTTGCCTTGCAAAAATGACTGGCACTTCTTGGCTCCCTGATGATATTTGTAGGTGAGAGCTCAAGGTTTGAGGTGTCATGGAAATGACCTTCCCGAGGAAAACAGCATTTTTATGTTAGCATAGTAAAGCAGGAATAATTCCTGCTCTCGGGGAACCTGTTTGGATGAAAGAAACCTCGGGGTCTCTGGATACATAAGATACCAAACAGGAAATCATAAAACCTGCTAAAAGTTTCCCATTTCCAAGGTGACATGCTTAATTTATTCAATCAATAACAAGGCAGTTTGGAGAAGCTTTAAATATAGAAAAGATGCAAATCATACAATGTATGTCTTGCCAAAGCTGCATTCTCAAAACCAGCATCTGGAAAGTAAAAACAGGGACTTAAATTCAAATTGCTGAGTCAAATGCAGTAGCCACAGAGCAGAAGAGTAGAAGTGAGTGGCAGTGAAGGAGAATGGCAGCTAGTGCTGGCGACAGAGCAGATAATGAGATATTTAAGGCATTTAGGCAGTGCCTATGACAAGGTCCCTCTGGCAAAGTAGGTGGCCAGGTACCTGTCTCATGGCTGCTACCTGAGACCATCCATGAATAGGTTTGGAGAGGCCTTGCCCTGAAATTACTTAGACTCTTCTAAGTTTGTTCATAGGCGCAAATACAACAGTAATATATTAAAAAAGGGGGGAAAAAAGGTAACTTTATAATGTTGGTTGCCATGTTGGGCTTAGATATCCAAACCTTTTCCAAACAGTTATGTTGGCCTGTATGTAAACATCTTTTTCCAGCTTTCTAGAGAGGTAGAAAAATGACAAATCATAACTTGTGCAATAATGGACTATATATTTTTTATAGAATTGAAAAAAGAAGACTCACTTTTTAAAGACACAAAAATTTCAGGAAAGTGCATTGTGCTTTTTACCATTAGGAAATAAAATTGTGTTACTCAATTATCAGTCACATTTGCAGACATTAGGTCCCCTGGATACTTGTCAAAGCTTTAGAGTACAGCTGTCAAGGCAAAAAACACAGAAAAATAATACAAACAAATTGCAATTGACCTTTAAATGTTATTTTCCTCAATAAAACTAAATATTTGGAAAATTTCTCAGAATAATCTCTTATGCCTGACTAAAATGATATCATATTCTGCTTGTGTATTACTTGATATATCTACATATATATGCATACATTTAACTGATATGTGTACCTATGTATACATGTTATATGTATATACTACATTAGATAATTTTTTTACGTGTAGTAGCTTTCCAAAAATTCCTTTTTGGACAAAAATAGGACACAAATGTTAGGAACAGAAGCGCTTATGTCACTTGCTTCACGTCTAATAATGATCTTAACAAGAGTGAAGATGAAATTTCTACCCTAGGTGTTTAGTAGTACACAATCAGATTTCAGGTTGTTTGTTTGCTTCTCCCATCTGATGCACCAAGTGCTGGCCACTGGCAGAGTTTCTAACTTGAATTGAAATGTATTTAATATAAGCTTGCAACTCTATGGTTCCAGTGCAACAAAAACACAGAGAGACTGAGTAAACGATTTAATCTGAGGTTTACTATGCTCCTAAATGAGAGTTTCATGCATGGAGGAAAGATTACCTAGGATATATACAAGACATGAAATCATGGAAAAATATTTTTTAAAAGAGACATGTAATTTACAACATTTTTTTCTATTTCAGAGAGCAAAACAAATTGTGCAGGTATTGACTGCTAAATAAAACAGATATTAGATATTAGTATGACATTACAGGAGAACAAATTGAACAAGAATTGCTATTTTAGAAGGAGTTTCAGTATTGTAAAGAAATCTGTTGTGTCCTTAATTCCGTTCTTCTTTTTTCTACTTTTACTCAGGACTTCTCCTTTTCATACCTGTCTTCTTTCTGTTCCTGAGATCAGAAAATATTAACATTACTTTTACAGAAACATTAGGAATAAAGGTTTGGTGCTTAGTATTTTAGGGTAATAAATGTTAGGTGCTTACCACTTTAGGGTAATAATCTGAAATACCGGTTAGAGACTTTATTCCTGTTAGGTTTAAAATGCAGCCATGACTTGCTAGTCAAAGAAAAAAATGCTTATAACACTCTCTCAAATACAGAACAATGATTGCATTTTTTATAGTATCATCATTTGCTATTGATTTATAATCAAGGAACATCAATCTAATAGACAGAATAGCAGTGTTCTAACTTCTGTGCGTGTGAGGCTTAGATATATTCAAATACATGCTACAAGAGGAACATGCTGTGGGGAACACTGCAATGAGCACTGGTTCTTCAACTCCATTGATCAATGTGACAAAAAATATTTTGCAATTTATGTTCCAAAGCATTTAGTAAAATGTAATAAAAGAAAAAATAAGGGTGATAAAAGTGTAGGTACATAATGTTACCAGTTTAATAACATTTCTTCTTTTTATTAGTAGCAATCCCACAGATGCCTGAGGAAGCACATTTGCCTTTGTTAAAACAAATCTGTTCTAGAAACTGTTCTGACATCCATCATTAAAGCATTTTATTTGAGTAGTCTTTCTTACTGTATTATTAAACCATTCATTAACATGATAGATAAAAACTCCATTCCACTGAGAATCTGCCTTGGCATTACAAAAATGTACCAGAATGCTTGGGAACAATTAAATATGCCATGACAGGAAAACAATGGAACAATGTATCTTAATATTAGGCTTTTCCAACTGTGGAATATTTCTATTGTGCTATTTAACATATACACCAAAGTCAATTTCCTCTAACAATAAATAAAACAATAAATAAATTGCCTTTGTACCCGAATTGAATCTAGGCAGTGTAGCCTGCAATATGGTTGCTAAAACAAGACAAAAACAAAGATGGAACACCCTTAGTTACTGACTCATTTTAAATTCCTGATACAGCTATTAAATGTGCCTGGGCAGCCTGAACTGTATCTCTGTAATTGAGCAAATAGTAAATGACTGCACTTAAAACACCTGAACCTGAACAAGCTTTAGAGTGCGATGTATTTAGGCATGAAGACATCACCAGCCTTTCTTCAGTATTCTCCAGGGAAAACTATATTTTCAAAACTTGGCTTTATAGGTAATTTTTCACACTATTACTGAAGTATTTAAGCACTTCACATCCTTCATCATCTCTTGTAGTGTCACTGGTATACCTTGGAAACAGATAAAACAGGATCACAGCATCAGACAATCACTGAAACTGGAAGGACCTCTGAAGACTTTCCAGTCCAAACCCTCTGCTCAAAACAAAGTCACCTACAGCAAGTTGCTCAGGGTCATGTCCAGATATCTCAGTGCATGGACAGCCCACAATCTTTCTGGACTACCCATTCCAGTGCTCCCTCAGCTTCACAGTAAAGCAAGTGTTCTTAATTAGAATTTCCTGTGTGTCAGTTTCTGCCCATTGCCTCTTGTTCTGTCCCTGGGCACTACTGAGAAAAATCTGGCTCCATTTAATCTACATCCTCTTTGAGCCTGGTCTTCTTCAGGGTGAAAAATACCAGTTCTCTCACCCTTTCACCACATGCTCCAGTCCCTTCATCATCTTTGTAGATCGTCACTCTTGCCCCAGTATGCCAATGTCTCATACTGGGAAGCCCAGCACTCCAGACACCACCTCACTAGTGCTGAGCAGAAAGAAACCTGCTGGCAATGTTCTTCCTAACAGGTCCAGGGTCCCTAGGGAACAGGACAGAGTACTCTTACAAATGAAGTATAATGTACAACACCTTGGAAATGAGCTTTGAGCTTTCAAAACCAGAGTTCCCATTTCCCTGCAAACCAGTCCACTGACTCCAGTTCAGACACTGATGTTATTAACCCTTAATAATTTGAGTTGGAAGGGAACAGTAAAGGTCATCTAGTCCAAGACCCCAGCAATGGGGAGGGACTTCTTTAAGTAGATCGGGTTGCTCAAAGCCATGTCCAACTTGGCCTTGAATATTTCCAAGGATATTGTACCTACCACTTTTCTAGTCAACCTGCTCCATTGTTTTATCACTCCCACTGGTAAAAAATGCTTTCCTCTTTTAGCTTAAAATCATGTGGCCAATCACAACAGGCCTTACACTAAAAAGTTTTTCCCATCTTTCCTACAGGCCCTTTAGGAACTGGAAGGTGCTCTAAAGCCTCCCTGGAAATTTCTCTTCTCCAGGCTGAGCAGACCCAGATCTCTCAGGCTGTCCTCATGGGAAAGGTATTTCCATGCTATGTGCTTGGGCAAAAGACCCAGTTCTTCTACTGTGTGTCCTTCACAGGGAATGGTGGTTGGAACAAGTAACAGATTACATGAACTGCATTAAAGCCTGAAGGAGAAGGGGTCCGTAAAACTCAAGATTTCAAGCCACTGCAAAAACAGCACTAAAGGACATCTGAAATATTTTCTCTGATCTATAGAGGGATAAACAACTATTTGAGATTTCTGACAGAACTCAAATGAGAGAGATTGCTATGCAGCATATGATAGCATGAACTAAGCCTAGCCTGGAAAAGACACACTACTTTGCAATGAATCTCCAGTTTCTGGAGGGTGAACAGGGTTCTATATGCTAGTGATGCCATGGTGCTTATAGCATGAAATAGAGACAGCCCAACCCACCTAGGATTTCAATGCACCCTGGAGGCTGACGTGAAGTACTTTGAGGACTTTGGTGAGTGATGTAGGAGATTCACATGAAAAGAGGGAGTGCAAGAATAATTACATATATCAATTTTTGGTATCCTCATCAGCAGTGCAGATCAGAGAAACCTGGCTTAAGCACGTACTAGTGCTTCAGTGGTTATCCAAATGGCTACAGGGGTATCTGGAATTAGAAAATTTTAACACAATACTATGGCAAATTTACAATTGTACAGTTAATTGCAGTTGACAGAGCTGAGAGTATGTTCAGTACTGAAGGATATTACTGCAGTCAAACTCTGTTTCGTGGCCAAACTTCTCAAAGTCCTTCTTTGGCCCTCATTTTTCTTTTATTTGAATCCTGTAAAATCAATGTGAGTTCCATCCTCACAACACTGAACAGATGGGCATGTGCTTACCCTCACTGCTGATATGCTGAGGTACACAAAGGCCAGAAAACAATTGAAGCACCTAAGTCTTAAAAGCTTCTTTTTATTCAATTGAGCATTTTTGTTTCCAGCAGTCAAGCTACTTAGATGCTTGAAGTTTTGCTCTTGTATGCGGACTGATCCTTTTTTGACTGTACTTGTGCACCTTACTAGAACAAGATTTGGAGGTTTGTTCAAGAACACTCTGTGCCCGCCTGACTCTGCTGCATTGCTTAGCACAGTCCCTAACACAGGTTTGCCCACACCTACCCACAGCCTCTGTGACAGCGGAACCAAAGACTAAGAACACCAGGCAGCATGGACAACATCTGTACCACACCTGTTTGACCTGCACTGTCCCTTCAGTGCACTTGCAGGGGACTGTGCAATCAAAACCATTTTTATATACTGTCATGCCCCATCATAATGCATGCAGCACGTGGCTTTCAGCAATAACCAGTTGCCTTTCAGCACTCTACTTGCCTCAGACACTGAAATAAAAAGTAGGCAGAAATCTGATATTTCCATCCTGGATTCACAGAAACACCCCAGGGAGGAGGCTTAAGGCTAGTTGCTATGTCATGAATACACACAGGTAAAGCCAGCCATGACAGTTGTACAAAAGTTCATGACCACAGAAAACTCTTTAGCCCTGTTTAATGCATTGATAGAGACATAGCTGCAGGGGAACAGCTGTGTCTAAATATAACATGGACCCTTAGGTTAAGTGTGCTCCAGCCAGTATAGCCAAGAGGCATGGCCCAGCAGGAGCAGTCTGTCCGATTCCCTTTCACTGGGATAAAGATCTATTAATTGTTGAGAATGTTCTCCTAGAAAACCACTGATGTGGATTTGAATCTTCTACTTGTTTTTTCAGAGGAAATGGGATCTTTGATTTATGTTACCTAGCCAAAGCTTCCACACAGGTAAATACGTCAAACTGCATAAGTCAAACTTCAGAGCTGTGACATTAGGCATTATAGCATACATCTGATTCTCTCCAAATTATTATTTTTAAGTGACTTGCTTAGGGCCACCTCTGATATCAAGGTACAGGGAACCAGACTTGTAGGCACATATGCCATCCACACAGCTCCTCTAACCTCTAACCTCTCTAACCTGCTCTACCTCTCCTGCTTCTAACCAGCAAGTGTAGCTCTTGTTTGGCCTGGCCAGCCATGATGCTAGAGTCACTGTTAGAAATGTACCTGTTAAAGGCATCTCTGCTTAGTCTTTTATAGGCTCAGATGGAGGAACACACAAAGGTCGCCGAGGCTGCGAGTCCATAGGACAAACATCAGTGAAGATTAATTAGAGCCTCTCCTTTGTAGCCACAACCCACATATTTGGAAAATGGCTTTGTCATACCAGCTTAAGCACCTGGTTTTCAGACATGACAGATGCTTAGGTATTACATCTCAGGTCATTGCTTTTCAGGTCCTTTCCTTGGAAAGCCTGATACCAAAACTCACACGCGTCTTTGATGCACTTGTGGATTTTCTCTGACTTAGAACAGAACAGTTGCATTAAAATTTATTTAAATATTTAATATCCATTTTTCTCAGAGTGGATAGCAATGCTCTGTAAACTTTCTCAATTATGTACCCACAGGAGTGTTTTTTCAGACTTCCTTGTTGCTGTCAACTAAACGTGTAAAAAGTGGATTATTGCTAGCAAGTATGAGAGCTCTTCCTTCTGATTTGTGAAGTTCCAGACACAATTCTTTGGTGTATACTGCTCTGTTTGACCTCCTCTTTCTTCTAAATAACATTGAAATACTATCACAGGCTCAGTCTGCCCTCCCTATTGTTCCTTTCTTCACAAGCTCTTTTCCCCTTGGCAATTCAATTTTCTGAGTTTCTGTGATGCAATTTTAATCTTTTCTATGGTTTTCTGGGATTTTTTTCAAAGGCCATAAGGTCTTCTCTGACAGGTCCTTCCTGCTGCTGTTTCCTGTTCTTCAGGCCTAATGTGGCTTGTGTAAGTTTGTAGCAATTTAGTCAAAAATAATGAAAATTTGTGCTAAATTACCAGAGCTCAAGGGCTCACACTTCCTCTTTATTTGGGTAATTGAGAGAGCCTAAAGAAGTACCATAAATACCTCAGAGTTGCTCATCAAGCAGAAGTATTTTAATCTTCAGATTTAAATCTATTCAGAAAATGTCTTTTGCATTTTCTTTCTGCTTTTATCCAGCAGCCTCAAAGCATTTTGCAAAAAAAACCAAACCAAAACAAACCAAAACAAAACAACAAAAAAAAAACCACGTACAAGTTTTGTGCCAGTGTGTTTTAAGAGACAAATAAAGTGAAAAGTGCACGCAGTAAAGCTGATTTACCTGCAATGCAGCGATGAAGAGTGAAGTAGCTCTTCAAGAGACTCATGCTAAATGTCACAGTCACCCTGCTCAGAGAAACACAGTGCCCTGTGCCTCTCATGATTCCTCCAGAGAAGGGTACCACGTGTTCTTCCTCAGCTGCAGAGAATGATGTGCCAGCCATCTGGCTCAAAGGCTGCCTGGTATCTCTGAGTGGCAAATATGTCTGAACTGTGGGAAATGATGGGCACTAACCGGCAAGGCAGATTTCCTCCCCGGCATACATCAGCTGTCTCCTACTATTATGAGAACTAAGACTCCACTGTGCTGTTTATGCAGCTGGAGACAGAGTTTTTTATACTTTATGCTTTCCCTCTGACCAATACAAAATTTGCTGGGACTCAAAATAACTTTCCAGGAACCATTTAATAAAATCAGAGCAGTCAGGAATAACAGCTGTGAGTTTCAGTTGCCACTAGCTGAATTATCAGTATATGAAAATCAGATACAAAATATAGATAGGTCTGGGCTTTTTTTTTTTTTCCTCCTTTTTAATCTGGAATGTATTCAAGCCTCTGAGGAATTGTTAAGTTTGATATCAGCTGTTTCTCCAGCTATTTCTACTTAGAAAATCTTGTAAAATCTGGACTGTGCCTCCAAAGGCATCCCACTAAGAACTTGCAATACCACAGCAGTGAAGAAAACTCAAAACACTCATTGAGCCACTGAATCTCTACAACCAATTCTAACACTTTAACAAAACCAAGTTCAGTTTCAAGCAAGGAAGCTTCACTCAGCGGCAGACTAAAAAAAACCTATCTCACTAGTTAAGATTGACCTCCTTTTTCTCACCCAATCACCATCCTCCATTTCTTTTTGTTGAGAAAAAATAACTAGTAAATTTAATTAAAAGAGCTGCTAAAGCAGAAAAGAATACTTTAGTCATATGATCTTCTGAGTTCTCTCCAACATCATCTTAGGTAATGGCTTATCACGTAACATGTGCTTTATTTTCTCTTTAGCACTAAGATATTTCCAAACTTGTGCATCCCATCTGTATCCATTTTCACAATGACTGAACAAATGCAATTATTCTGCAGTCAGCCATGTAATGGTCTCCTACTACTACCATTAGGTATTTTTAGTTCATGGATTCTCTTATTTCTCAGCTATGCCTTCTTTCTTTCCCTAGCTTACATTTTTTATCAGAATTGCTTTTCTCCCTTCACTGCCATTCTGTGTTATTGAAAGAATCTCATATACTTTATCTTTTCATAATTCTTTCATGGTCACCTCATTGCAACATACAGATGGTTGTAAAAGGAGGAAAATTTTTGTTAAAAATATTGCAAAATTTGTCATCTATTTCTTGTCAAATTCTGTATTTTGCTTTATTTCCTAGATCTGAGAAATGTGTCTTCTAGCCAGATTCCCTTCTACTGCTTACCATGCTTTCACAAAGATATATGAACCACTGGAGAAGAGAAAATCTCCATATCAACATTTTGAGAAAGGAATTCAGTTTTCTTCTCTCATAACAGATTTCCTGTGGTCCACCCACCTTGCAGCAGAATGCAACACTGATCTTTTTGAAGTCCAGATTGCAGCTCTCTTATGTGCTGAACAGAGCAGGGATGAACATGACTTTGCATGTGCCCTTTGCCTATGATGTGCAAACACAGCAGCCTTTCTGACTTAGCTTCAGCCTGTTAAAAAAAAAGATGTGCCACTAACTCTTCTTTCACCTTTCAGAGAGATAAACCTGACATGCTTTGAATTCTCTGAATTTGTCAGCTGGTTCCTTCACCAAACTAAATGTGATACTCCTCTGACTCTATGAATGATCCCACTTTCCTTAAAGCTGTTTGGTGAACAGGCTCTTCTGTCTATCAGTATATTTAATTTCTAATTTTTTCATCCAATTTTGTGCTGTATATGGACTTTTCTGTTTGTTTGAGAAGCTGATATTTGACTTTTTTTGGTTGTCATTGTTTTTATGAGACAGACAAATTTTATTATTTCCTGTTTCTTTTTCAAAGTACTTCTCTGAAAAATGGTGAATCCTCAGGTGTCTCTCAACAGCTGTGAAATACTTGTATCAGGTTGGCCTCTGATGGGGACAATACACATGCAGGAAGCCTTCCTCACAACAGAAAAATACATTAATTCAATTTAAATCAGGTTTTAAACCAACCTTGTTTAACAAATGTAGGTTCTTGTGTAGACTTTCTTACTCTATATAGCTTATGCATATTTTTCATTGTCCTGAATTAAAGAGAGAAGAAATCAGTTTCAGCTTAATTAGGAATATCTATAATATTTATTTAAAACTGCACACCCAAACAGACTGGTGCAACTTTCTCATGGAGAAAAGGTTTTAAAATATACACAGCAAGATGAGAAAAAAAGTATATACAGTTCCCTAGAGTATTCTTCCCACTATACTCTGAGTTCCCCATCCTTTCCACACTTCTGATTGGAAGCTTAGTTTTTCAGTTGTTTCATAAAACAGAAACTTGCATAAATTTCATTGCAGCTTCTGGGGACGTCAACGATCTCAAGAAATGTTCTTGTGGTTATACTTCCTGTTCATCAGCTCCTGTTTCCTTTTTTATCCTTCCTTTTCCACACTTTCTCTGTGAATTTTACTGACTAAAACAATTTTGAACATTTGGACTACAGCATCGCCTTTCAAAAATTTAACCAAGATTCTAGGAATATTTTTGGAATATTCTCCCACCATCCCCCCAACATATTCTTACCTTTTAATAGAGAAAGAACCATTAAAAAGAAATATTCTGACAGTGAATAGAAAATGAAACGTATTTATACCTCTAGATTTGATTAAGTTACATTCAGAGGCAGGATATACTGAAGAAGTTACAGAAATACAAGCAGGATGAATCTTTCATTACCTTAGAGAATAGCCACTTAGCAGCAGTGATTTCATCTCTAGGTCCAAAGTCTTCAGCTGAAAATACTTTCCTTGCTTTCTTCTGAACAGGCTCCAAAACATTTTCTTTCTTCATCTCACTTTTTTTTCCTAGCAAACTAAATTATTCTGGTTTTTCAGTCAGCCTATTTTCACTAAGCATTTCAGTTTGCACCCTCAGCTCAGGTTCATGTGTGTGAATCACTTAAGCAGAGCTGATAGAATGTTGCTATTTCCTTTTTTTCCCCCTTACACATAGGCCTATTTGCTATTACATTTCCTTCCCTTTGATATCAGATTAGTGAGGCTACATTAATTATTCATTTCCCTAGATGACAAACACTCTTTGTTCAACAGTTGATTGACCTGGTTCTTTAAGCTGAATAGAGATGTCAGTTTTAGCTATACCAGGGAGGACAAAGGAGAAAAGATACCTCAGAAAGAGTTCAAATATTTATAGCAGAGCATTTTCCTACTGCTTCTTTCAGTGCTGCATGCCTTTCACTTTATGAAACTCGACATTTAAAAAATTATTTTCATTCAATATTAGGAAATGCTTTGACACCGAAACTGACAGAATTCTTAGGTTAAATATTCTCCTCCAATATTCTGGTACATTCCTGACTAACTAAAGTCACCAGACAATGTTTCTTCCACTTAAATCCCTGTCTGACAAGCTCTAAAATGGAAAAAACAAAAACAAAAACAAAAAAAAAGTACAGGCTGCTGGGTATTGCAAGGATATTACACTAAACTGGTTCTAAAGTTAGCTACACCTATGGGATTAAGTCATTAGCTATTTACCTTGAAATCGCCCTTAATTGAAGCCTAAACTAAAAGGCAAAAAAATATTTGCTTACAGATTTTAAAATACGTGCTTGCAGAATTTTCTGACATCTGAGTGCTAAAAGGAAACAGAAAATGCATGCAGATCTTTAATCATTATTTATGTTGGCTTTAAGGTTTCTTCTCACCCATCATGAGGCAGCTGAGACTAGAAATTCACATCTTCTTGACAGAGGATTCAGTCTTGAAAAACCTAAAAACATCCTCAGGCTGAGGTCATGGAAGGGGATCTTGGCTCAGGAAAGAATATTACCTTTCATAACATGTTGATTTAAACACATTTTAAGGATGAAATTTCTTTTCTACCAGATGAAAAAGAGAGATTTACCCAAACTCTTTGTGTTTGACTAGTCGAGGAAAGCCAAGACTCAGGAATGCTCAGACCCTTGTGCCCAACCAGCCTGTCAGCATCCCCTTAGGGGTACCCTTCAGTGATCAGTTCACAAGATCAGAGACTGACTTGTTCAGGGTCACACACCAAACAGAGAAACCCCTCATGGGTCTCCACACCTTTACCCACTGCCAGTGACTGCCACAACCCTTGAAATACTTACATTAACAGTTTACAGAATAACACTCTTCATAAATGAAATTGTGAGAATTTAAGTTTCTAAAATGGCTGGTGATAATATCTGACTGCAAATATATACTCAAAGCTATATAGTAATTCAAAGCAACATACTAAGAAGCGCTAATCCCCAGTAAAAGCTGGCTCAAGATGATCATTCAGCATGCAGAGAACACAGTTCTTTACCAGAAAGGCATTTCTATGGGGGAGAAGACAGGTTCAGCCTCTCAGCTGATCCCAGCTGGAGTCTTCTGCCACTTCCCTCTCTTATCTTTTACACTATTTTGTTCCATTTAGGTACAGCTTGGGTGACTTTAGTCATACATCTTACTAGTGAGTGGTGGTCATATCTTGGGGCTGGATATCTCAGGATAGTACCTGAGATAACCTTGGATGGGGGACATAGGTCAGTCCAAGATTTTGCCACTGTTGCTGATGCAACAGCAGGACATCTTCCTTTATCTTCCTTGGTTTTCAGCTGCTGTGTGGTTTATCAGCTGGAAAGTACCACTGAGTTCTCCCCTCTGCAAGTGTTTTGGCAGAGCCTCTCACAGCGGTTCCACTCTGCTCCATCATCTCCTTAGTCCCTCTTGGATTGTATTGTGTGGGGGAGGTTGGACATACTGGCCGCATTCCATATGGGGAGTAACAATTGCACGTTTCCCTAAAACTTCCATGCCATTATCTTTTTACCCTCCGTTATTTTCTCATATCTTCCCACAAAATTTTTAACTTTCACTTCATAACTGAAAAGTACTCCTTCACTTTGGACCTTTTTCTTGAGTGTTAACTTCACATGCCCCTTTGAAAATGCTGCTTTCTTTCTGACAAACCAGACATAGTCATCTGATTTGCTTCAGTATTAGCAAACTGTTAATGAGTTTATCACCAGCTAATGCACGTCTCTTCCTACCTGATCAAAACTGAAAATACTTCTGGAAGTC